AAAATAAAATAGCCAAGGACAAAAAAAACCAATTGTTAGACGTGATCGCACTATCTTTATGACATTAAAATACCTTCAGAATACAATAAAATTGATAATTATAATGACATTATTTTTATAATAAACATATAACATAATATGTTATTATTAACAAATAATATTAAAATAAAATAGCGAAGGACAAAAAAAACCAATTGTTAGACGTGATCGCACTATCTTTATGACATTTAAATACCTTCAGAATACAATAAAATTGAAAACTAAACTCTCTCGATTATAGATGTGACGGAATGACTAATTAGATAGAATAGTAAATGTATTCTGAAAATCTCCATTTGTAGTGTCCGAAAAAACATATCCATTTATGCCTTTTGGCTTGCAACTTTAGCATATCTAAAGGTACCTTTTAATTCAACAGGGGTACCTTCACTGTTTCGGCTGAATTAATGCTACATTTATACGGTTTAGTTCCCTTTTAAATAAAATTTTAAAATTAAATTTTGTAAATAAAAAGACAGGTGCTACATGAGCTTCTCCCTTATAGATATGATATAATTTGATTCTAAATTAATTAAAATTTAATATACTTTTTGAATATAAAAAGATAAGTACCAAAAAGAAAAGGAAAATGGAGAGAGAAGAAAAGTAGAGAAGATAATGTTAACGGTATTAATATTTCTTCGTTGCACATGTGATGAGTTGACTATCATTTAGCCAAAATGTGTCTTTTTCGTTGCAGTGGAGAAGATAAGATTAATGGTGTTAAGCTTTTAATTTTCCTAATTAAGAAAAAAAAAGCATAAATTTAAAATTAAGGTAATTCTTACCAAAACGGACATGTCTTCCTTCAAATCTCAATTTAATTTACTTAATGTTTTAAAACTTAATTTGGTAACTGACCCATTTTTAACCTTTGTTCTAATTCAATTGGTTTAATTGCCTAGTTCTATCTATCAATTTAAAATTGACTCTTTCTAATATTTTTAAATATTTTATTGAAAATGCTATAATTACATATTATATAATATTATAAGTTTATAATACAATGTATCATTTTTTAATTAGCTCTTTTCATTCAAAAATTTACTTGTAATATTATATATATCTATTAGTTTAACATCACATTATATTTATTTAATGCTATGTAGAATTGTAGGTCCAAAATCTTATGTGGCATTTTAACTATAGAATTACCTATATCTTATGGCTATATCAAGTATTTTTTTATTGCCATATACTAATATTAACTTATTTTCAAAATATAATTATATTACTGGCAACTTAAAAAGTTTAATTTAATTAAACATATGTAATTCAAAAGATGAAATGAGTTAAAAAAAAAAAAAGTAAAATTTAAACTAGTTAGGTCAGATCAAAAGGATCAGCATGGAGAAGTACCTAAACCTCCAAATAAATGAAATATATCTATCATGCAACAGGCAGCATAACATAATTTCAACTAAAACAATTAAAAAAGTCACAAAGATATTCATAAATCGGCATTCGCTGGGCTCCAAACTTTCAAAACCCAGTAAAGCAAAATAAAACAAAAGAACAATGAACACCCAATTGAAAAAAGTGAAAAAGACTTAGACTTTGTCTTGAACCGAAGATGAGCAGGAATTCAAAAATCCAATCTTTATCAGAAACATAACACAAATCAATTAAATCCAAAAACAGTCTCTCACCTCCACTTCGAGCAAAGCTTTTACGTTTTCCACCTGCTAGAAAAGAAAACACAAATATTGGTATACAATCCAATCTCGACAGGAATAGCAAGTGGAAAATGAGTGTTCACGGTACTTTACACTGTTTACAGTTTCATAAGGCTCGACGTCAATGGTAAGGATCCGTTCGTCGGCGGTCATTACAGTGACTCTCACCTTGGCTTTCTATACCTTCCACCGATCAGACCTCTCGCTGACAGAAGATTATAAAGATGGAAACTTTATCTCTAGTCTTTTGAGCTTCACCTGAAATTGTTGAGTTCGTTTATGGCTGATTTTACTCGGACTAAGATTATTACGACCGAATTACTTACACTTTGTTTGGATAGAAAATAATAAAGGGGAGGGAAGTGGAGGGAGGGAAATGAAGGAAAATAAAAGGAAATGGAGGGGAACGAAGAGAGGCAAATACCTACTTTTAGTTATTTATCTTAATAAATTTGTAGATTTTAGTTTTTTATCTTATACTATAATATTTTTAGTCATTTACTTATATAAATTAAAGAAAAAAACTCTTATTTAATGTTCTGTTAGCAGATTGTTAATTCTGTTAACTGATTGTTAGTTTTGTTAACTAATTGTTAGCATTCTGTTATAAATAACATGAAATTTAAACTCAATTTGAAATAGCCAACTAACAAAATCAATAGCTAGCTAATAGAATTAACAGTTAACTAACAGAACTAACTGTCAACTAATAAAACTAACAATCAATTAATAGAATTAACAAAATATTATAACCTGACATTAAGTAAGGGTTTTTAAACTTCAATTCGTATAGATATGGGGCTAAAAGTATCATAATATAAGGTGATGGGTTAAAACCTATAAACTTATTAAGGTAAATGGCTAAAAGTAGGTTTTTGTAAGGGAAGGAAAGAAAATGGGAGGAAATGATTTGTGTTAATTTTGTATAGATAAATAAAAGGCCAAAACCCCTATTTGCACCCTCCATTTATTTTTTTTCCGCGGTCAACACCTTCCAAAATTTTTCCTCCCTATTCACACCCTCCACTTTTCAAAACCCGTGAAAAACCCAATATTTTAACGGGCCGTCACGACACCGTTAATAACTATTAAAAATTGTAATATGTGGCATCAAACAGTAACATAATCTAATGTGGACTTTTTTTTTTTATGATATGGCATAATTAAATCATAATTAATTTTAATTTTTTCATTTTCTTCTTTCCCGCATCATCTCTACCATCTTCCTTTTCATCATCCTGGGTTCCTCATGGAACCAGGAACCAGGAATCAAGAACCCAGAACTTTTTTTTATAATGTGTTATAATTAAATTATCATTAATTTTAATTTTTTCATTTTCTTCTTTCTCGGCATCATTTTCACCATCCTCAGCCTCATCCCCCTAGGTTCCTCGCAAAACCCAGGTTCTGAGTTCTTTGTAGAACCTAATTTCACATGAATGCCTACCAAGCTAAGATTTTCATCCACACAATTATAAGTAAATGAATACTGCACAAAAACATGATAAGCATCTTTTACTCCTTTCCCACAAAAAACGAAAAAAACTCAAATTGGCAACCTATTCAGAAACAATCTCCCAGCAAAAAAACTCACTTTTTCAACAAAAAAAAATTATTCCAAATTATTTTGCATAAAATCGGAAGCTAAGATAAATACATTTAAAATAAAAAAATCAAAAAAAAAAAAGAAGGTTGGAACTGGGTTCCGCGCAGGAACCCGAACTGGGTTCCTCGCGAGGAACCCATTGAGAAAGAAGAGGATGGTGAAGATGGAGGACGATGAAGATGATGCCGAGGATGAGGGGGGAAAGAAAAAAAAGAAAAAATGCCATTTATGTAACTGTTTGCTAATATTATAATTTTTTATTATTTTTATTGTATACGTGGTGTTCACATTGGATTACTAACGTTACATAGTGCCACGTCAATTTTTTGGTGCCACGTAATATATTTTTTAACGGTGCCGTAACGGCCCGTTAAAATATTGGGTTTTTCACGGGTTTTGAAAAGTGGAGGGTGTGAATAGGGAGGAAAAATTTTGGAAGGTGTTGACCGCGGAAAAAAAATAAATGGAGGGTGCTAGGGGCTTTGGCCTAAATAAAAAGTTAAATATCTAATTTGGTCCCTTAACTTTTTTTTTTGAATTTAGTTCATCCTTTAACTTGAAAAAAGACCCAAATCATCCTTAAAGTTTGTTTTTTCGTAACCAAATTGATCCTTCCATGACAGAAGTGTCCACTTGGCACACTAAGTCTCCACAATTTAGTTCTTTTAATTTTTAAATGCTTAGTTACGACCCACAAAGTCAAAATCAAGAATCCATTTCAATACTCCAAATCCATTTTCCTCTCTCCATTTATCCACCTCACTTCGCACTTTGCTTTCTTCTTCCAGATTCCATCGCACTTCATACTACACTTTGTTGTTCTCAAGGCTAGCAACATTGAAAACCTTCACAATCTTGGCAATTTTCAAAGGGGCTTCTATTGTTGGCACGAAATCAAGGGGGTTTGGGTGGAGAACGAAGGTGACGGTCATAGACACAAGTGGCAATAGAGAAAAGTGAAGGGAAGAAGGTGAGCGTCTTTGATTTGGAGGAGGATCTGGTGGTGGCCCTCGCGAAATACACCGTCGACCTATCTGATAAGGTCTCAAAAACGAGGAGCTCGTTTACTATCAATCTCTGGTTGTTTGGCCACCGTTGTTGCCATAGTAAAGACTTGAAGACCTGGCTTTTCAAACACAGTGAACGATGATCAACCTAATCCTTCCTTTTTCTCCTTTGGAAATCACAGCAAACAAGTCAAGTTTTTCCCATTTGTATGAGGAAACATTGGGGTTTTTATCTCATGACCATGTATTGGGAACTGGAGTATTGAAATGGATTCTTGATTTTGACTTTGTGGGTTGTACTTATTGATTTCTAGTGATGAGATTTTTGCTAGCTAGACTTGATCAAGAGACCCAAATTTTGATATGGGTTTTTCACCAAAGAAGATGAAGATGAAGATGAAATCTATGTGGGATTCTTGTTGGAGAAACTGAAAAACCCAATAAAAAGAATTTAATTTTTTTCCTAAATTGTTTAATGAATCAATTAATTTAATATATTTTATGAGGTTTTAATAATCAAATTAATTATGAGTTAATTGTTCCCTTAATTATCTGTATTAAATACAACAATCAATTAGTTTAATCTTTTAAATTTATTAAGAATGAGTCAACTAAGATTTTTTTTTTCTGTTCTCATTAATTTCTTAACAGTATCATATTTAATAATTTTGCAATGTCATCAATTAAGCATTGTATTTTTTCCACATATTTTCCGCGTAAGCATTTGAAAATTAAAAGAATTAAATTGTGGAGACTCAACGTGCCACGTAGGCACTTCCATCACATAAGGACCAATTTGGTAATGGGAAAATAATCTTTAAAAACGATTTGGGTCCTTTTTGAAGTTAAAGAACAAACTAAGTTCAAAAATGAAAGTTGAGGGGTTAAATTGGGTGTTTAACCTAAATAAAAATGAGGAAGGAAAAGGAAAGGGAAGGATTGTATTATTTTGTATTTGGATAATTAATGTGAAAGGAAGGGAAATATTTAAATAATTTTAAATTTACAAATTTAACATTTAGTTTAGCATTCAACAATTGCTGCTACTTTTTGGAATTCAAGACAAACGTAATAGCAATCATTTAAAAGAAAATTTCACTCTTCAAAACTCATTGAAGAAGATACATATTGATATAGACAGTTATAAAAAGGAACATGGATCCATGGTGAAAAAATTGTTGGTTGAAAAAACAATTCAAATAAAAACAGGAAATGGTTGTTTTCCGCAGTAGAGCAAGGAAGAGGAGCCATCACCGATTTGAAAGTTCTTCTAAAATTTCTACTTTCACTTTAAGTAGAAGACATAATCGAATTGTTGCTTGCTCTCTTCCATTCTTTGATCGAGACTTCAATGGTGCTTTCACAGCTTCGAAATTCAGTGATTGTCAGGGCTCCATCTTTCTTTAAGCACATATAACACTCTTTAAGCACCCAATCCATTCATGCATTTCGTCAAACACTAGGTGTGCATTGGAAAGCTTTAGTTTTTATCTTTTTCTCTTATAATTTACAACAAGTCTATCATTTTTGAATTTCATTGTTAATACATTTTCATTGCTTTTCGTAAGCATTAGTACACTTTTTCTTGACATAATTAAAAAAGAAATTTACAAAAATATACATAAAAACACAATTATTACTACAAGTTAAAATACTATATTTATCTTTTTTTTTAGTTTTAATTGATAATTCAAAATTCTGTTTAGTATGATTTTGATTTTCATAAAGTTTTTGACTCTAAACAAAAAAAACTCATTTATTTTTATGTATTTTTGTAATATATTATTATAAATATATATTAGATAAATAAAAAGTAGTTTTAATACTATTAAATAATTTTACAGTTTTTATTGTTAGTGTTAAATCTTGTATTAAAAGAATTATTACTTTTTATTTTTAGTTTTGATTTTTAATAATTACAAAAGTTATAAAAACCAAAATTAAA